GTAGCCCGCGCAGCGCTGAGGCGCGCACGCAGCCCTGCACCGCTCGCTGTGTGCTGCTGAGGGGTCACTCTACAGAGGGGCGCGCGTTCGTTAGTCATCCTGATGACTGCAATCTGAAAAATATTTATTAAACATTTGCCCCCAAAGCGTTGGTGTGTGCTTTGCCTCAGTGCCTCTTGCTTTCTAGCGGAGCCTTAGTCCCTGGCTTGCCGGGCGTGCTCAGGAAGGGGTTAACAGTTCACAGGGAACACAGGCCTCGGTGCAGGGCACCTCACGAGTCCTAAGTTCCTTCCAGCCCGTCAGGGTTTTTCCCCTTGTAATCTTTAGACGGCTTTTTTTTTTTTTTTTTTCCGTAGTTGAACATTGCGTTGCAAAAGCCAGGTGTGATTCCATCTTTCCCGAAAGGGAGCGGCGCTCTTAAGCCGGCGGTTAGGGAGGCATTTTGCTGGAGAAGTGGCTGGATTCGTCAGGGAAATGAGAATTGTTGTGAGAATGGAATTGCCCAAGGTTACGAAATCTTGGGGGTAGAGAGAGGATTAGAAGAGGAAATATATTGATGTGTGACCACAGATCAGGATATCGAGGCTTGCGTAAGAATTTGATCTGCGTCTTGAAAACCATGCTGTAATGTCTTTAGCTGTTATTTTATCAGGAACTTTTGGGGTAAACCAAAGTGTAAAAGTGCCATTCTGTTACCTGTAAATCATAGTAATGTTGTGCTGTAATAAAATAAAGTTTTTCTATGTTTGGTTCAACTTGAATACCTGGCCAGTCTTGAGGGGTTTCTTAACAGACTGTGGGATCTCCTGAAGTCACCAGGGTTTGTTCAGGAGGTCCAGCTCCCACGGTCCTGACCACTGTGGGACGCAGTCAGAGCACTGCAGAGACAGTGCCAGCATCCTCTACTGGTTTGCATAAAGGCACTTTTGGAGCAGGTAACTCTGAAATTCGGTGCGAGAATCACAGAAGCAGAGAATGGTTCGGCTTGGGAGGGGCCTTATATATCCAGTTCCAAGCCCCCTGCGCAGGGACACCTTCCACCAGACCAGGTTGCTCAAAGCCCCATCCGACCTGACCTTGAACAGTTCCAGGGAGGGGGCAGCCACAGCTTCTCTGGGCAACTTGTTCCAGTGCCTCACCACCCTCATAGAAAAGAATTTCTTCCTCATATCTAATCTAAATCTGCCCTCTTTCAGTTTAAAGCCATTACCCCTTGTCCTGTCACTACAGGCCTTTGTGAAAAGCTCCTCTCCGACTCTCTTGCAGGCCCCCTTCAGGTACTAGAAGGCTGCTATAAGGTCTCCCCACAGCCTTCTCTTCTCCAGGCTGAACAGCCCCAACTCTCTCAGCCTTTCCTCACAGAAGAAGTGTTCCAGCCCTCTGAACATTTCTGTGGCCCTCCTCTGGACCTGCTCCAACACGTCCGTGTGTTCCCTGTGCTGAGGCCAGTGGACATTACAATATGCAGCGAGGCGGGATGGGCAGTGCCTGAACTTCGAGGGTCTTGTGTACCTGCAACTCAGTGTCACCTTGAAGGGTTTACCTGACAGTGGGATGTCAGTAGAAACTACAGTGTAAACAGTAGTTAAGATTTATGAATTTCCAAGTGGCAAAAGTACCACTGTTGGTGAACAAAGTCCCCTTGTCATACATCAGAGAGGTGAGTCCAACAAGCACTAGTTCAACATCCTGATTAATACCACGAAAGTTTCTGGGTGTTGATTTAGTGAAGGAGTCCTTTCCCGAGACTTATTTCAGAGTGCTTTAAAACTGTTTCATGGGTCGTTTTATCGACATGGGTAGCACAGCACTTTCTTACACGTGAGCTGGTCTTACTGCTTTTCAGTCCAAGAGGGAGCTTAAACTTTCCTTTCTTCTCCCCATTTATGTGTAAAAGAACAAGTGTTTATTTATTCACAGCTAGTGGCATTAGGTATCTGTAAAGGTACATATGTAAGATTTTCTTCTAAGATCAGATGACGGGCTCTTGGGTAAGCTCAGCAGATACTTTACTAGGGCTATTACCAGCTCTTGGCTAAGTGCAGCAGGTATTTTACTAGGACTATTACCAGTTTACTTTCAGTGGTGTTGAGCTCTCTATGCTTGAACTTGTTTATGAGTGTGTGCTGTGTACTGAGTGCGTGCCGAGGCTGCCTAACTGGTGGTTGCTTGGGTGCACCAAGTTTTTGTGGTAACAATAATCTGTATTATAAAGTAGAGAAGGAAAAGAGCAAAACTGACACTGTGCTATTTCTTTTTCTAAGTAATCTGTAATGTCAGTAGGGCTGTGCTTTTATAATCACAGTTGGACAAAGTCAAAGATTTGAGATGAAGAGGGAATGCAAAGGAATAACAAGAGTTGCCTTAGTAAACTTTACTGAGAATAGAGTGATAAATTTAAGAAATGGAAGCGAAAAAGTAGTAAAAGGTCACTGGTTAAGCTGAGTCATTTTGCATACGAGTGGACAGGCTGCATCTTCTCCTCATGGCTGCATTCGAAGGGGATAAGACTTTGGAGTGATTTCCTAAAGGCTATCTGCTGCAGGAGCTTGTGTAGCACGGCTTTGTTGAGCTGCTCAGAATCATAAAGCCAGCTGAAGAGACTGATCACTTAAAAGTAAATAATGAAACACACACACACACACACCCCCCCTTAACTGTTGTGGATGGAAAAGGAGAACTAGACCTTACATTTAGAAGCACCATGAAGGATATGCTGTGCAAAAAAAACATTTCTGGCCCGTGTCTCTCTCATATTTGAGTGATTATGGTTTGTTTTTCTTTCTCCTAGGATGGAAATAATTGGGAGCCAGATATAAGCAAACGGAGCATCCAGATGTCTCACTTGAATCATGCAGAGTTTATCTGCCTCTTTGCCTCACTCTGAACTCCAAGAAACTGAAGTTTGTCCTCCTGTATTTACCCAGTGAAATGCTTTGTAAGTACATGAGCTTCGCAAAAATAAATGTTTCTTCATCTGTTTTGTAGCTGGGGACACAGAGGGAATGAAGTTAAGTTACATACCCAGAACACCCATCAGGTCAGTGTCTGGGTGAGATTTATGGGGCTCTAAGTTCCAGCTCTCTCCCATATAAGTGGTTTCACAGACCTCCTCTGGATCTAGATTAGAGAATGACTCCTCGGAAAAAGCTCAGAAGATAATTTTGTGCAAAAATAATCCATGGAGATACAGTTCTCAGAATGATTTTCAAGTTCTTACGGAAAAATCCTCTGTCACCAGAATGACTTTTTGTTCTGAGATGATTTTGCCCATCACAGTCCCTCTTATTGCAGTTGACTGACACATTTTAAAAAAGACATATGGTGGATCTCTACTGTGATGTACCTCTAATTACTCTGCTTCCTGAATTCCACACATGTAACAGAGTTGTTGGTAATATATTACACTGGTTGCTTACGTGTAAATCTGCTGATAATGAAGGAGAGAGGGAAACAGATTAAAAAACAGTCCCAACCCTTAAAGACCAGAAACCACCCTACCTACTGAAGTCATTCAATAGGAGGAGTCATGAACTGCAGAAGCTTGAATACAGCTTTGCTTTCTGCTTCCTACTCCACATATCACTTACTTCATTAGTGGCATTCAGTTTGGTTAGAAATCTAACGTACTCTAAGGAAACACTAGCCACTTGTCTGTGGATATTACGTATTGCTTTTCTCCATTTCCACATGCTGAAATTGTGTTTCTTCATCTGTTTGATATACTGGGTGAAATCAGGTAAGAACCATTAGCTTATTCTTTATGATGTAGTCTCTTGGCTTTATTCAAGCATAAAAAATGAATATTCCTTCATTTAAATTGTCCAAAAGTTTAAACCTTGTGAATTATGCCTAATGGAGCAGACGATTAGTAAAGAGAATTTGGACATGACATGAAACTGAGGCATAGGTTTTCATTTGAAAGTAAATAGAACAAAGCCTGATACTTTATCTCTGGCTGTACTTTGCACAGAGACACACTCAGGTATGTGCACTTTGTACAAAGTAAAGAGGTAATTGTGAAATAGTTTTAGCATATTAACATACATTTATTGTTTATTGCTGATTTGATGGATTGACAGGTTTTCAAAATTTGGACTATGCTTTAAATAGCAGAATTTAGTTACAGAAAAGTCAGTGTGCACTTAAGATTTTCCCCTTTTCAACCGCAGAAGATAGTTACAATGCTTACAAACGTACACAGGGAAGTTAAAAATGTATACTAACTGATGTAAACTGCATATGTAACTGCCCAACACTTACCTGTATGTTCTGACTGTACAGAGAAGTGTGTGTATGTGAGTACTCCCACAAGTGTGCACAAAGGGCAGCTGGGCATTCCTACCAGTAATCAATCAGAAATAGCAGTTTGAAAAACTTCCCCTCAATGACTCCTCGCTAAACAATTCAAGGTATTAAATCTATAAATCTCTCTACAGTACTTAACTAATTCCACAGTAAAGACATCATTGTTTCTTTTTTTCTTTATTTACTTTTGGAAGAATAGCTGGTGTCATTTCACAGACATAGGTAAATGAGTTGTATCTCTTTGACATTTGCCAGCTAGTAAATAGGTTGTACCAGTTAAAATAATTTCCGTGTGATAGATTTCTCACTTCCATGGACGAGACTGTGTCTCTGTTTTCTATCACTGTCACTCCTCTGGCTTTAGAAGAATTAATTCTTATTTCTACCAATCAAATGATAAGAAATCAAAACATTTAAATAGATATGGAGGAACACTTCAACAATACCTTAGCATGAATATTTTATATGTTAGACATATGGGACTGAATTATAAGGATCAGTGATTATACTTGGATTTAAGAACATGAGGTAAAAATGAAAGGGTTTCATGTGGTAGCTTTGAATCTGAATGGCAAAAATGTAATCAAGTGGCTGTTTATTATCGTTTAGCTGTGTATATGACTTTTGTGTAATATAATTTCTGTTCTATTTTTATTGTCACATATCATTACGTCAAAACTAGAGATTAGATGTGACACATTCTTTTAACATCTCAGTATCATGTCACATGTATGACATTTTACCAGGTTCTTGAATATCGTTTTCATTAAATTCAAGGCAACTGCAGCTGAACAGCTCTTAATTTCAGAACTTCTTCTAGGATAACTCTCAACAATGAAACTGAGATGCCTTCCTGTAATAGTAGTTAGTTAATAACCTTTCCAGCAATCTCAGCAAAAATTAGTTAAATTATTCAGTGTCTAAATGAGGAGAATGGTGATATTTATTTTGAAATCTAGGTAATTCTAACTTTTCCCAGATGTAATAATTGTAGCTATTGTCATGAAGTGATGATAGGCATGGAACTTTTGTCGGGACGATTTGAGATAGGAACTTCCAGGCCATTTCTAGCACTGTGCAACTCCAACCTTGCTCCACTTTGGAAATATCCATTATTTTTTGTGATGCCCAGTCCAGAGATGACTGGTCTGGTCATTGCAGATACATGGTTTAGCCTAGAGGTGATTGGTCTAGTTCCCTAAGTGAATTAGTGTCTACCATATTAAGTGCTGTACTCCACATTGTTTAGCTTTGTTTAGATCTGCACTATAGTATCAAATACATTTCTCAGACACCTTATAACCCTCCGGCACTTGCCCTTCATGGCTTTATAACTGGTGAGGGCTCTCTGTCCGTCTCAGATGTGCAAATGTTTTGGATTCGGTTCTGCCTGCTAGCTGCTTGCTGGGAAAAGGAGAAGAGCTAGAACTGCTTCTCCTGTAACTGAAAAATTATGAGAAATTCAGGTTACTTTTAAAAATACTTTTTAAGGAACTGAGTAGGTGCTATTCCTCTTCCTACTTTTGGTTTCTAGAGGTTGACTGGCTCTTGTCTTACACAGTTTTTAATGACAGGAAAATTGAGAAAGGGGCCATCAAATATCAGACAAAAGCCTTGTGTAAAGTAGCATAGCCCACTAGAAGTCAAGAGATTGGCCCAGATTTCTTTGGCCGTAAGCCAGCTAACACCATAGCAAAGGTGAAGAGGCCTTACAGAAGAACTGTGACAGGCGTCAGCGTTGTGCCCAGAATCCTGAAGTGGCTTATCCGCACAATGTGACCTCAGCAGCGAAAGGATACTACTTAAAGCATTAATTTTTGACGTTGATGAGCACACAGGGGAAAAATTAACTCTTTTTAGACTCTTTTGCATATCTCCATCCTCTTGTTGATCCTGACTGACCTACAGCTTAAGCATTTATACCGTAAATGACAGAGTACAGAAATGCTAAATATTACAGTTTTTCTTGTGCCATTATGTACATTGACCTTACAGATTCTTATTTTTTCAATCTCAGAACAGGATCCTTTGTTTCTTCTTTCTTTGTTTCTTGGTAATGGTGTCCTTGTGGTGATCCAAAACTAGGAACATCTTCTGCATCATACTGTTGTACAGTCTGTCCCATACTGTCAGGCGACTGTTTCTTATTGCTAGATCAAAGAAAAAGACCTAAAGATTGGCAACTTTGACACTCTGGCCAAAAGAGGAAGAAACAACCGCAGTGGTCTTCCTATTTATACAACACACACTAGTTGTGAAAAAAATGTGGGAACCTAAATTTGATGGTTAAGCAAAGGATCTTATCAACACCAGCTACTAATTTATATTTGTTATGGAGATAATATATTGTTCAGGAACAATTAGAAAGGTGAATTTGTATTTGCAGTGTTCAGAGGAGCATAGTGGTACCTGCAGAGGCGTTAGTTAAACTGTGTCTCCTTGTTGTTCAGTGCACATTCTGGCACCTCATTCCAAAGATCTGGAGTGAATAAAATGGAAGTTTTTCACTTTTTCTGGAAAAATATGGAAAGAAAAGTGAAAAGGTGGTATTTCAGGTGGTCTAACTGATCAAATGACTATCTAACATTTTTGTCTTTTTCAGATAAGGAGGAAAAATGTCCTGAATTTACAGATCTTAATATAGGCAATGCTTTGTCTGGAACAGAACTCCAAGTCCAGCTACTGCTATACACAAGGGAAAATCCAGATTGTTCTGAGAGACTCATTGAACATAATGTTACTTCATCTGAGTACCTTAATAGCTCCAAGAAAACTGTCTTTGTTATCCATGGCTTCAGACCAACGGGATCTCCACCAGCATGGCTAGGTGATATAAAGGAGCTTTTGCTGTCTTCAGATGATATGAATCTCATTATAGTTGATTGGAATCGTGGTGCTACAACTGTGAATTACATAACTGCTGTTGAAAACTGCAGAAAAGTTGCAGAAATACTGAAGAACTATGTTGACCAGATGCTGGTAAGGCAGAGAGTTGCATCTGTTCTGAATAAGTTTAAATAGCATAGTTTGGGTGTAAATGGATATTTAAAATGTGTCTAAAGTGAAGCCCAATGAACAATATCAAACGGTATTTCTTTACTAAAGTATTTACTAATTGTGCATGTGGTTATTACTGCATATCTTTAACTCCACCTGAGTTCTTATTTCCCTTTCACTGAAGTGTGTCTGAGAGTGCATCTGATTTCTTTAGCCAGCTGGAAGTTTTAGATCTTCAGG